GTCAGCTGGCTAGTTATATCTGATAAGTGCATGTAACTGGCGAGTCTCTTTGTTTTTTCTGCCAATGTGGCTTGCACTTATTACTGACCTTTGAAGTAACTGGCAAACATATAGTAGTTGCAAAAAAAATGGTTAGTTTCAAGCCCTGATATATATATATATATATGAGAAAAATTAATTAGAAAAGTTATATGTAAAAAGCAAAGATCATTCATTAGATATTAAGAGGTTTCAGCTGAGTTTAAGACACTTTCAAGGCATTCTAGGGAAAGAATTCACAAACATTCTGGCTGAGTTTCTAGAATAAGCTTTTGTTATTTTGTCAGGATTGAAATGATATGTAATTATAACTTGATGTTTTTGTTTCTATATTTTCTAGTGGGTTTATAATATTTTGGATCACAAATCTGAAGCAGACAGGATAGTGTTTGAAGATAAAGATCCAATTTTAGGATTTATTTTGTTACCAGACTTAAAATGGGATATGAAACATATTGATAACTTGTATCTTGTTGCAATTTGTCATCGAAAAGACTTGCATTCTCTTCGTGACCTAACAGCGGACCATTTACAACTGCTTAAGTCAATCAGTGAGAAAGGAAAGGTAAGTGAAACTATAGCATTTATTTTAGAATAATGACTATGAATATATACATGACTAAGCCAATTTTTATGAAAATATTTTGTGTTAGCATTATATATAACACATTAAATTTGAAACTTGTGTATATATAATTTGTTATCATATCATGTCTTTGCTTTTTGTCTCATAAGATACATGCAATTTATTTCCTTGCCATGTCTCATCAACTAAAGAACTAATTTATGTGAAACCATGCTAAAAGTGTATTTAGCACTAGATTTATACAACCATGAATTGTGATTTGTTTAATTATTCTTCATTACTTTACATAAACAAAATTTTTGAGTTATTTTGCAGTAGTTCAGGATATGCAAACACGAGTTTTTAATTGAAATTTTAGAGTGTCAATATTTTATTTTATTTTATTCAGCAAAACATAGCTAAAAAATTCAACATCCCTGAAAAACAGTTACGAGTGTACGTTCATTATCAGCCCTCTTACTATCATTTCCATGTCCACTTCACTGCGCTGTCCTTTGATGCTCCTGGATCTCATGTTGAACGAGCTCATCTTTTAGACATGGTAATCCAGAATATTCAGATGGTTCCAGATTACTACCAGAAAGCAACCCTGGTGTATGCAATGAGAGAAAATGATCCTTTGTACACCAAACTTCAAGAAGCTAATGTGCTATGAAAGTTAAACATAGTTTTAATTCTGGAAAATAGTAAAAAAAAAGTTAATTTTTGCTAGTACTTTTAACTTAAGAAAGGAAAATTTTTTCTTTTTTTTTGTATGTGAATATGTATTTGTGTCTGGTAAAACAGAAAATTCCAGTTTGGAACTGATTTAGAGGCACACTGAAATTTATTTAACTTTTAAAACAGAATATTTGTTATGTGTAACCATTTACTCATGAACTGCATTCAAATTAAGATAATTTAATAAGTGTTTTTTAAAACTGACAATCAAGAAAGAAAGTTTTATTATTGCACATTACCTTTCATTTTTTGATATTTCTGACCAGTATTTCATCATTGCTTGATGTATAAATAAAGCACACTTTATTAAGTTTGGCATTTTTATTTTATTTCCTTATAAATATTTTCAGTTTGTCATTTGTAAATGTATTCCAAGGTTCTCATATTAGCACACCATATTTTTCAACTACACATTAACTTTTTTTTTATACAGAAGTGGCTTAAACTTATTGGATAATTTTTGTTCAGAAACTATCACTTGAGAGTTTTACATAAACAGTAACATCATGTATCTTTTTAATAGAGCAACTAAGAAAATGATTATGTACAAAAACAGATAAATTTGTAACTTTCTTTAATGAACAGTACAAGATGAAATATGTATAGCTGCACTGAAAGTCCCAACTCAAAGTTTCTTCTTTGTTAGATGAAACATTTTTTCAACTTTTTGAGAACTATTCCATAATGAATGGATTCTTTAGTTTTTGCACAAAAATGAAGTCACACATAATAACATATTGTTAATGGTTATGATAAGGATCATTAGCAAGCTGTCAAATGAAAGTTATTATAATTACAAATTAAATGAATCCCATAAAGTTTTCTCATACTGTTAAGGTAGAACTTCTTGTTACATATCTGCTGCATCTAAGACCTCCTCTCACAACATTAGCTATTCTCGTTAAGTGCTGCCCTCTATATGCGAACTTTTTCTTTATGCATACCACAAGCCTTCCACTCACCCCTATTGGAATTGCAAGTTTTCAACATGTATCATGCAAATCATCATGCATTACCTCCTCACCAATAGGAGCATGACATGCTCACGTGACGCATGTGCCTCCTCTTCCGAACTTTCACTTTTCATTTGGCAGTACTTGTGTTCCAACATGCTCCTTTGTTTGTTTAATACTTCACGTTGGTCTTCGTTTTTTCACGAAGTGTTTTTTTTAATAATTTGCTTTCATTAAGCCTGTTTCTTCTATTAGTATTTATCAGTTAATTCTTGTCACCATATTTTCTGCACTCGAATTTGGTGAATCTTTCTGTGCAATGAATTCCAAAGCTAACGTTACCACTTTGTGGGTTGCACCAGTGACCAGCGTTTTTTCTCAGGTCTCAGGTGTGGGCAATCCAATGGTGGATTTATCTGCTTTTATACACTAGGAAATCTAACGTTACATGGGACAACCTTTATCTCCTGACATGACCCAGGCTTATCCTGTACAGGCTTATTAGGACTTTGATCGTCTTTTTCCATCTCCAGAATTTGCCATTCTTTCTCATTCGCAACCCAATGACTCTACTAGGCCTAATGCAGTTTTATGGATTTTGTGTCTCAGGTTTATGGCGTTTTATCTCTTTCTCCTATTTTTATGCATATCATCCTTCCTTTTTTGAATGAACAATCTTCCCAACCCTATTTGGTTTTTCCTATCTCATATTTGAATTCTTGCTGATCACTTTGCCTCGCAATTAAGCGAGGAGATTAGCATGCCATGTCCCCTGTGGACTTTACACTTTCCTACTATCATCCAGACTATAAATGTTTAGACCAGCAATTGTTAGGTTCCTTGTTGCCTATATGGGGTGGCTCCCAAATCATCTGTCAGTCTTACCTATGCCCAATATGCTTGTTTGCATCTTGCCTTTACAAATATATTATAGTATCTTTCTTCCATAGCTATCTTAGGTTCTCCACAGAAATCCTGAGTGGTTTTCAGGAGATACCTTTGCCCTTCTCCATTTTAGCCCACATATCGGCTTTGGCTCTGGTGTTGCATATGTGATTTGTTTGTTCTTGGGACCTTATAGGTCGTAATGCCATATTGGCTTGGGTATGTTTACCCTCGACATATCTTAGGGATTTATGTCTAGCCCCATATCTGAGGTATAACGTTTTTGATATGGTCCTGGAAACTAGAGCCTCAGGTGACATTAGTCCAACAACAATCCACCCTTACGAATATCGTAGCCTGTTTGTCTCCATCAGAACCTCATATGTCTCCAATTACCATTTCCCATCCTTCCCAGCCCTTCTGCTTGGGATACTTCTCGTCGCTTTCCTCGATGATGCACCCCCTGTTGCCACCAGTACTGATGACTGCTCAGTGGGTTTGTGTCTGATGGGACCTCAGCTGTTCGAGTTTTTTCATTGCTGGCATTCCTTTGTTGGCAATCAATGGTTGCTTCAGGTTCTGTCAGAAGGATTCATTGTCCAATTTCCTTCCCCATCTTTCCTTACCCCATTACCTTCCCTCCTGTTCAAGATCCCATGACCAGCCAGCATCTGTCAGAAGTGGTTTGGGAAAAGCTCTTGCATCGGGCCATTGAATCTGTTCCCCCATCTTTTCCAGGGTTTTTATTTTCACCTTTTCGTTGTCTCTAAGAAAAACCTGTTGAATTGCAGCCAGTAATCAATTTATCTCACCTCAACCATTTCGTTTCACTACCTAGGTTCATCATGGAGTCGTTTCTCACCCTGAGATGGGCGTTTTCACTGGGATTGTGGATGACCAAAATCGATGTTTCCAACCCTTACCTACATATAGCGATATCACCTGAGTCTCGCCCTTATCTTTGGTTTGTCCATTTTGGGGAGGTTTATCAATTTTGGGACCTTCCCTTGGGACTTACCTCAGCACCGTAAGTACTTTGCCAAGTAGTCCGAGCTTTTGCTTGACATCTCCATGCTCGGGGACTGCAATTTTACTATTACAGGGACAGCTGGCTTATTCTAAACAGGAATTGGCCAATCATACTCGGCAGCTCCTTTCTGTGGAGGCTCAGGTGGGCTGGTTGATCAAATGGAAGAAGTTCTTCTTCAGACCCATTCAATATCTTGTCCATTTGTGGGTCTTTTTCACCATCCCTATCAGTTGGGCCCATCCTTCTACTTTATGACTTCGTTCAATGGAACTATTGGATTGCCAATGCTTTCTCGGCTCAGTCTCTTACTGCTCGCGAGATTCTATTGTTTTTGGAGATGTGGTCACCAATGACATCCCTTCAGTGGGCACTTCATGATCAATGGAACCTTGCTCAAGATCCTCTTTTCACCCCGATTTCTTTGTGAGATGATCTGCTTTGTTGATTAGACAACAAAGCCCATATGTCAGTGGGAGTGCCACTTCCTTGCCCGCATCTAGATCTACATCTTTTCATGGACGCATTCCTTCAGGGATGGGGGGGGGGGAGCATGGGTCAATCACAAGGAGGCTTCGGGTCATTGGTTTGCAGACAAAAGCGCTTTGCATGTCAATGTTCTCAAACTTCTAGCTGTATATTGGGCATTGCATCACTTACTTCTTGCCCGACATTGTCTGGTGATGGTTCATTCAGAAAATTCTACAGTGGTGGCACATATCAACCACCAAGGATATCTTATGCTGCACATCACATTCATCATTGTGTTTCATGTGCCAGGTGCTTTCAATCTGATTGTGAATTGTTTTCTGCACCCCAACTGAATATACCCTACAGAGTGGTCATTAGATCCCCTCGTTTTCAGAGATCTTTGCCTTTGGTGAGGTTCTCCCCATGTGGATGCCTTTGCTATGGGCTTCAACAACAAGTTACCTTTTTTTTGGTCATGTGTACTTCATCCCCAGGATCTGGCTGCTGATGCCTTCAGCCAGGATTAATCATACACATGTCTTTATGTGTACCCACCCATCTGATTACTTCATTGGGTGATTTCTCTCATCCACTCCACTCCTTCTTGGGTCCTCCTTATTGGCCAGCTAAGCAGTGGTTTCCATGGTTACAAGATCTGCTCCTTTTCCTTCTTGTTCCTCTTCCATTTTCTCCCTACATTCTTTGTCAACCTCAGTCACCTGGCCTACATCCCACCCTTCATGCCTGGCTTTTGTCTGGTCCTTGGCAAGAAGATCTGATTTCACATGTTGAGTCACTTTCTTGTTAGCTGGTTCCATCCGTCCATCTTCCATGGAGGTGTACCAATGCAAGTGGAAGGTATTCTGTTATTGGTCTATAGCTTTTGGGTTTCCAGTTGACCAGCCTACTGTGGCTTGTATGGTAGAATTTTCGTGTGGCTCTTTGACCGTGGGTCTTTGGTATCCTTGCTTTTGGAATATTGGGTGGCCTTATCCCATACCTTTCATTTTTCCCAATACCTTAAGGTTTGTATTTCCCCTGTCCTTACCATGCTCAGGCATTCCTCCTGGATACGTCACCCTCCCAGGTTACCTATCCTTATGGATTGGGATGTTAATATGGTCCTCCATTCCCTTACGTTACCTCCATTTGAACCATTTTCCTTGTGTTCCATGTTTCATCTTTCTTTTATGGTACACGTTCCTGACTCTATCCCTTAGCAATCCTCCTCCCTTCATGATCTTTCACCTTCTACCCTTACCAGTTGGGTCTATTTTGTGGTATTGGCCTATTCCACCCTACTTTCTTCCTCCCAGAATTTGCTCCAGATGTCCTCCCATCACATCTGACACGTCACTTTTCCCATGCTTCTCATTTTCGTCGTCCAATGGAGGAGATTCTGCAGTCCAGGATGTGGACCACACACAGTATGTTCATCTCCTACTATCTCCATCATATTGTGGTTTCCTCTTGTCGGGTTTCATCTACCACCTGTAGCCATTCTTCAGACTTACCTGGTAAGTTTGTATTTATACTTTCCTTTCTTTTCAGCAACTTTTCTCTATTTCTTTATCCCGGCAAGTGGTGCCTGGTCGGGTATTCTTTAACTTGAAATCAAACCGCATTGTCAAGCCATGTTGACTCATGCTTTATCTTCCATGGCTTTGCATGTTCATCATTGAGATGGGGTGTTCTACAAGATTGCATGTAGGTGCATGACCTTGTGATATTTTGCTTCATAAGCATGCCCATCCTGGACCGTATCACCCCTGGACTGCATGGGTAAAGCAGAAGGGGATTGCTGCCCATCCTTAGAATGAATAACTTAGTATGATATGCTTTTCAAAACAAGGTTCTGTGGTCACCCATTGCACTGTCTAAGGTGATGATGTTCCTCCAGACCCTCCAATGCATTGTCACCCTCCTTTCTTCAAGTGGAGTATGGGAATCCTTACCACTTTCCAGTTCAAAGCTGCTTGGGTGGTTGTCCATGGAGACACCCTGATGAATGAGTTCCACACAATATTCATTTAGTTACATAGTAGGGTGGTGGTGTTCTGTGGGTGTAAGTGATGTGATATCCTACTATTTGCAATAACCAATGACAACGGAGTGAGACATCAAAATGCAGTTCACCCCTATGATTGGGTGCCCTCATCCTACCTTGCTAGCAGGTTTTGGATTTAGAGTGAACCAATCAACATAAGTCCTCACACAGGTTTTGGGTTGTCTATCTTCCTCCCTCAATTTCCTCCATCTGTGTTGTGTGTCACAGTGGTGGTACATGGGATTGTTATGGTTCTGTCCTTGGCTATCCCTTGTCCTCTCTTCTTACAAGGATGTTATTGCCATTTGGATGATCCCGGTCTGTTTCATGGTCTGGGGAGTTGATTGCATGCGATAGACATCCTTTGGATACTGGATGTCAAGTTCCTGGATCGATAGCTCAGAGCTAATTCTCATGTCATCTGCAGGAATTAGAGTGGTTCCCAATTCCTCAGTTTTGGGTTTGAGGTGAAGACTGTATGATCCTCATGCTATTCTCGCATGGATGTCAGTACCCTGTGGGCAGGTTTTGGATGTAGTTGACTTACTGAGTATAGTCCGCCATGCCCTAGCCAATCTACACCTAGTGGTGCATCCTTTGTATACCCACCATTCTCATTGTGAGATTGAGTTACAGTTTATATCTGTGGTTAGGATCACTTTCCTGCCACATTCTCTCCCACTCGGATGTGCTCCTATAATTTTCTGCCTTTATATCTTACACATTCCTCAGTTGGGCAAAGAGTATACCTGGCTCAGAAGTGATGCAGTTCCCCTCTTCTGATCTGAATCTTTTATTTCCAAGGGTACCCTTCCGATGCTTTTGGGGGTCCTTCTGTCATTTCCTTGGTCCAGTCCTTCCTCCTTATCATTGTGGAATTCTAGCTAATCTTGTGACAGGAGGTGAGTCCCGTATCAGAAGTTATAATTTTCCTATACTGAAAATGTATTTCCGATAGGTACTTCCCTACCCTCACACTTCCTGCCCTTCTTCCTCACATTTCTCTGGTGCTGACATCTTCTGCCAAACTTTGAAGTGATAGTTCAGTAGAGAGAGTTACATGAGTATGTCATGCTCTTATTGATGAGGAGGTGATGCATAATGATTTGCATGAGAGACATAGGGGAGCAGAAGGCTTATGGCATGCATAAAGAAAAAGTTCAAATATAGAGGGCAGCACTGAACGAGAATAGCTAATCTTGTTGTTTATGGATGTGGGAACATTCCCAAGGAAAAAGAGGTATCTCTGCACGAGTTTCCACTTAAGTCAGACAGAAAATGGCACATTAACAAGAACTTGTGATAAATAAAGTCCACTGAAAGCTGCCATATATGCAGTGAACAATTTTTGGAATCAGACTTCGAAAATAAACTACAATTTGATATGGGTAAGTACCTATTGAAAATACATTTTCAGTATAGGAAAATTAAAACTTTCTTAAACCTGAATGGTTGCTGACAATTCTACATTGTACAAAATACCTGAGCTTACCCTACATGTCTCATGTTTTTGAACAGCTGATAAGTGGGTGCTATATATCGGCAAAAAAGGTTCTAGTGTTCTTTTGAGTGATGGCTCAGAAGAAATATTAAAAAATAGTGATAATCAACAACAACAAAAAATTGATAACTCTGTAGCTGGACCAAACACTCCCTCAGTTTCTGTTTCTACTGTTTTTGTCAGTAAACTGAAGACAAAAGCTAAAGTAAGTACCAGGAAGATTATTTAACATTTGATTTCACTTACAGACAGACAAAAAAATTCACCAGCAAGCCTTGGCTTCTTCAAGATAGAAGTGAATCTGCTCTCCTCAAATATCATAATAAACCTTTCTCAAAAAACATTAAAACTTGCAATCACAAAGCATATTCTCTTTCCAGTTAACCAATCAGAAAACATGTACCAAAAGGCAGAAGTGTGTCAGTTCCATTTGATAGTTATAAAAGTATCCTCAATACACAAGGTCAAACAGCAGACAATTTAACTATCTTATGAAACAGCAGATAATTTTAGTGCCCAGTTAAACACCAAAAAAATTAACATTTTGGGCTCAATTTTGTACACAACCTCAACTGGAAAGTCAGAAATAAAAATTTAAGAACTCTGTTGACAAGAAATAAATAGTAGGGAGAGTGAGATATGTAGTATTTACATTAATCTGAGGGTCTCGGGTTCGAATCCCCGTCCCACCAAACATGCTCGCCTCTTTCAGCCGTGGGGGCGTTATAATGTTACGGTCAATCCCACTATTCGTTGGTAAAAGAGTAGCCCAAGAAATGGCGGTGGGTGGTGATGACTAGCTGCCTTCTCTTTAGTCTTACACTGCTAAATTAGGGACGGCTAGTGCAGATAGCTCTCGTTTAGCTTTGCGGAAATTCAAAACAAACACTGAGCTAAACCCTGACTTAAAAAGAGACAAATATTGTGGAAGTTTATTGGTTGAGTGCTTTTGGTAATAGTCTTCTTGTTTTTTTTTTCAGTGGAATCTGTAGCTGAGATGCATAAATTAAGATAGAAATATTTATATGTTATCATTGAACATTTAATGTAATGACAGTTACCCATCAGTAGAAAGTATTGTTGAAAATCTGTTTTTTGTTTTGTTTTCAATGTAAACATTTACAGAAATCCGTATTGTCATTTAGCCAAAAGAAAGTTTAATATAGCATTATAGTCATGGTATTAATATATGTAACTTTCACCAAAGTTTAAGAAACAATTTGAGCCATATATAAAAACTGAGGTAGAATAGTGACTGAGTTAGGAGTTTGTTAGTCAATTAATGTATAACAGTGTATTATTTAACCAGTTTGTCTGTTACTGTCCTTAAGTTAGTTAGTAAAATTATGTGAATATTTGGCTTGTTTCAAATATATACAGATAGAAAATTAACAAGTCAAATTTCTGTTTAGATGTAGTTTATTTGTGATGATTGGTTATGCTACCTAAAGAACTTGAAGGTGATGAAACAAAACATTTTTATTACTGTTAATTACACTGGATGTTTTATTATTCTTTTTTACCGAATAATGCAAAAGATTCCAGCAAATAGTAGAAACTATCACAACTAAATTTGACAAGATGTGAGCAACGTTGAAGCTAAGTATAGATTTTCAATTTCTAAAACATGATATATTAAATGTTCATGGAATTTATACTTACCAAACAAAAGTTAGCAACTTCTACAAGTTCAGTGTTCAATTCATTTTCATAGTTTTTGTCTTAGTAAGGAAAGGCTAAATCAGTGTGACGAATTTCAATAGCTCATTCAAAGGCAATGAGACTTTTATAAATATATGTATTTTTTATATATATTTCAATAAAACGTAGATTTGAATGATTTTGAGAAATTTTAATCAATAGTTCAGTATGTAAGTCATTAAAGATATATTTGTTCAGTATTTTTTTTCTTTTGGTTATTAATTTAAATATGAGGTTTGGAAATCTGTACATTCAAGTGATTCTTTTCATACAGAAAGATAGCTATCACTAAAACTGCAAGACTCAGACCAAATGACCAGTTCAAGGAGAATTTATCGGGAAAACACCAGGCTGAGAAAATAGCTGTTAGTATATTAGCTATATTTGCAGTGTAGTATTTCACAATGCTATCCAAGTGCTGCATTATAGAAGCTAGTGCCACCCCTTGGCCTGTTGTGATAACAATGGTGAACACCAAAAGAACTAAAGATCTTGGGGTCATATCTGTTCGAAAAGTAAAAACAAAAATTGTTAGAATAATTAATATTATTCATAAATTACAATACATCACTATACAAAAGTCAATGTAAGAATAAAAATGCTACCAACAATGAAATCATGGGTACCGTACTTTCATGCAAATAACCCGTCCCTTGTATCGCTGAAGTTCTTCAGAAAAGAAATTATACGGAAAATTAGCAAACGAACAGAGACGTAACAAATTGGTGTCAGGAGTGGGATGAAAAAAAGAAAAGAAAGAAGATGGAAACCAGAGGTGGCAAATCAAACTACAGCTTAGCAGATTTGATGGCAGCAATACAGGAACAGTAAAAGAAACAAGAAGAATGAGAAAAGAAACAAGTTATGGTAATAACTATTAGGACATCATGAAAATAATACCAGCAGAATGTGCAAAAAAATTATTTGATACAATTATTCAATTATTTGTTTCATACAATGTTAGTAAATTATCTTTCCATTGTGATGCTACATCTTCAAGTCTTGTGCAATAAGGACAAGAGTTGTTTGATACAATGTTGGTAAGTTACTTGCTTTTCACTTGTGGTGCTACATCAGAGTCTAGTACATTAAGGATAAGAATTTTGATAAGTTACCTTTCCATTGTGTTGCAACATCTCCAAGTCTTGTGCAGTAAATTAAGAGTAGTGCACTTGTTAAAGTACTGAAGAAATACAACTGTATTTGTTGTTCTAAGAAAGGCCTTTTATCATTCTTGAATAACACCTAAATAAGTACAGAAAAGAACCAACTTTATGTTAGTTACATAAGTATATTTATATATACATGTGCACATCTTCAAAAATAATGACATAAAACTTAAATATATGCAGTCAATTCACAATATACTATTTTAAATAAGAACCTTTACTATTATGCACGGCCTGGGGTTAGAGTACTCAACTTGCAATAACTGTGGATTTGAATCCTCTAACTGAACATTCTTACTCTTTCAGCTGTGGGGTGTTTTAATGTAATGGTCATCTCACTATTTGTTGGTAAAAAGTAGCCCAAACTTTGCAGAGATTGGTGTTGATAAGCTCCCTACTCTCTAGTTCATCACTGCTAAATTAGGGACAGCCAGCCCCTCGGTACATGATTTTGTGAAAACAGGTCTTTTGGATTCACACTTGGTATACTAACCATAAGGCCACTCCTGGCACAAAAATTGTTTTGTTTAAATGCAAAGCTTCACAATAGGCTATTGATTGCACTGTGCCCACTGCAGGGATTGAATTCTGAATTTTAGTGTTATAAGTCCTGAAATTTAATGCTGAGCCACGGGGGTAGCGAAAAGCACGAGAGCAAGTATGGTTCTTCAGGTTAGTTAACTTGTGTAACTACCAGTGAAAGAATGCTTATCGATTCACCATGGCTTGGTGGTTAAGGCGCTCAACTCGCAATCTGAGAGCTGTGGTTTTAAATCCATATCACCGAACATGCTTGTCCTTTAAGCCATGGATGGGCTTAATAATGTGACAGTCAATCTCACTATTCATTGGTTAAAAAGTAGCCCAAGAATTGGCATTGGGTGGTGCTGACTAGCTGCCCTCCCTCTATCTATTACTACTAAATAAGGGACAGCTGGCGCAGATAACCCTTGTGTAGCTTTGCACAAAATTCAAAACAAAACAAACTTATCAATTCACACACTATACAAAAAGATTCATAGGTTTTGTTTTTATGCCAAATTACAAGGCACATAGTTGTCTAAAGAGAAATGGAAATTTGACCAAATTTAGTAGAGCTGAAATTGCTAGTGTATTATATTATTTTCATGGAAGATAGTTAAATTGGTATTAAAATAATTTATCTAATAAGTGGAATGTAAATTATGATAGTTTCTATCTTTATATGTACAGGATTGGAAGAAATTTTCTTATGAGGGTTTACAAAAGATTTTAATGAATAGGTTAAACTTTCTTTAATTTCTTCAGTCTTTACGTGGTGTACTAAAATGAGGATGAGTATGTAGAAATCTCTATAGAAAATGTATATGCAAACATACAAAATTTCTTGAAGATCATCAACCTTTACAAGGTAAATAGAAACCTATTAATGAAAGGTAAAATTTTTTTACTACTTTTTCTTGAGATATCAAAATTTAAATATATATATATATATATCCTATTAGTGGGGATTATTCTAAAAGAAATTACATACTTTCGAAAAGCTATATTACAGCTCTTTAACATTATAGTTTTTTATTCACCTCTGTATAGATGGATACTCCTGCTGCTAATAAACTGTTCAACATACTTAGTAGTAAGGCAGTTACAGGGGCAGTAAGACTGCTATCCATGAGGCTTGGCAATTGACTGAGGGCTATCGCAACAACAATCAAAAAGGCTCCGAACCACTGTGTGTTTGCTACTGGCTTCTTGAATATAAACCTGAAAAGTCAGAGGAAAATCCTTAAGTATTTTAATACTTAATCATCAACTGAACTATGGAAAATAGTTCATGATCGAATCAATTAAAAACAATTATAGTGAAACATGGGCCCTTGAAATACGAAAAAAAAAGGGTATCATCTGTGGAACAACAAAGCAAGTCATGGAAACTATGCCAACAGTAAAGTGTGTACTCTACCAAAGTACCATGAAACTATGTAAATAGTAAAGTATGTACTCTACCAAACTATCATGAAACTATGCAAATAGTAAAGTGTATAATCCACCAAAGTACCATGAAGCTTTGCAAATACTAAAGGTTGTACTTTACCAACGTACCAAGAAACTTTGCAAATAGTAAAGTGTGTACTCTATCAAAGTGCCATGAAACTATGCAAAGAGTAAAGTGTGTACTCTATCAGAGTACCACGAAACTATGCAAATAGTAAAGTGGGTACTCTACCAAAGTGCCATGAAACTATGCAAATAGTAAAGTGGGTACTCTACCAAAGTAACACAAAACTATGCAAATAGTAAAGTGGGTACTCTACCAAAGTAACACGAAACTATGCAAATAGTAAAGTGTGTACTCAACCAAAGTGCCATGAAACTACGCAAAGAGTAAAGTGCGTTCTCTAACAAAGGTCTTTGTATTTGAACTCTAAATACCTGAAAAAAAAAATGTTTCAATTACAAACCTGTGTTGGGCAGAGCACTGATACAGTGTGTAACGAATTTGTTATTATGTGTTTATTTTAATACATTTGTTGTTTAGATTAAGTCTATTTTTAAAAACATGCATAGCTTGCAGTGGTAGATATGTATTGTGAAACTCCCGCCTATTCTCCAAAGTTGTAGTAGATTCTCGGGAGTAAGAATCAACAATATATGTATATACGTAAATACTTAAATGTAGTTTAATATTGTTACGTAAATCGGAATTTTCTAGAAAACCTTTCCACGC